ACACATTTTAAGTCTGCACACTACTGAAGTAAGAAACATATTGTTTTAAAATGAGGTATCATGTTTCATAGTTTGTGGTGTTATATACGTATGAATGCTCTGGAAAATTAACTTGTAAAAGAGAAAATGCAAATTGAGAGCAGCGTGTTTGGCAAAGAGGTTCTGAAAATAATTTCACCAATTTAGCATCGTTTGGGGGGAAACGTCGGATGGCAGGATAGTACATCAGGAAGCAAAGTAAGAATTTATTTCATGATACTTTTGTGCCTTAGAGGCAATGTTGAACTCAGGTGTTTGCCTGGGCAAATCCCAGCAGTTTTCACAGCAAAAATTCAGAAGTGGTTTGCCATTGCCTCCTTCCGAGGACTGAGAGAGAGTGTGACTGGTTTGAGGTCACCTCACTGGATTTGGGTCTACCACAGTACTATAACTCCCAATCTTCTACCCTGTTTCCCTGAAAATAAGACCTCCCTGGATAATAAGCACAATTGGACTTTTGAGCACACGAGCTAAAATAATCCCTCCCCAAAAAATAAGCCCTCCCCCAAAATATTGTAACACAGCAGCAGCCATGAGGTGACCATGCTCACTGCCTCCTGCTCCTCAAAAATAATAAGACCTCCCCGAAAATAAGGCCAAGTGTTTATTTCAGGGGTCAGAAGAAAATAAGACCCTGTCTTATTTTTGGGAAAACATGGTAGTCTTAACCACATGTTTCAGGGAAACAGGCACCATAATCACAGCAACAAACTAGCTTTACTTTATTTAATATGTATTTTACATCAACTACAAAATGATGCTATTTGGCATAATGTATTAGCAAACCATAAAGCTAAAATAACTTTTAAGTGATTCCAGGATAGCAGAATGCTATAAATCAAGGGTGTCAAACTCAAGGCCCACAGACCAGATGCAGCCCAGGGGGTGCTTAGATCTGGCCTGCAGGGCCGCCCTGGAAACAGTGAAGGAACTGGCCCATTTTTGCCTATGCGAGCAAAACCGGGCTCCTGAGCGCCATTTTCAGCTGTGACGGCCTCCTCTGCCAGTTAAAACAGAGCTTGGGGAGCACATGCACCCTCCTTGATTTCCATTAGGCTGCAGGAGGCTGTCGCAACTGAAAATGGAGCTCAGGATCCCATTTTCACTGGCAGAACTCTCGGGTCACCACAGCTGCTCCCTGACACAAGTGATGTCAAGCTGGCAACACCCCCCGAGCTCAAACACAACCCTGATGCAGCCCTCAATGAAATCGAGTTTGACTGTAGATAGGCTGTTGCTGACAGCTTTTATTTTTTCCTCCGCTGTTCTTTCTTCATTGCTGTGATAGCCAAGGGTCAGTAATCAGAATGAAATAACATACTTTCTCCGGGCTTCTAAGGCAGTCAGGCACATTAAAAAGAGACCGTCCACGGTTGACTGAGGCATGCCTCATAAATAATATGTTTCATTTAATATGCCATTGGATCTAAGAGGATCAAAAGCAAAGGATTAAGAGCTCACCTGTAATGTAGCAGATTTAATCACACTTGCCCCCTTTTGGAGGATTAGTCTCTCCATACTCTTAAGTAGATTTTCTTTCCTTTCTATAATAAATAATAATAATAATAAAAATAAAATCTTATTTGTGGCTTCATATTTGTTCATCTAGAACTCAAATATTTTTCCTCCTCCTCTTTTATATGCAACTCTGTAACACAGTGATTATTTGGTAGCTTGGTTTGAAGAGTGATTTATGTATATCCTCCCAGCTTCTTTGATGACACATATTGGTGGTCTCACATCAACATCAGCATTAACAGCTGCTGCCTATTGAAACAGAACAAAAAAAAGAGTGCTTTGAACAAGTTGCTTTAATCAGAATGAACAGATATAAAAAGAAGTGTCTCTTCTCTAAGACTGCAATCTTCTTTGGATTTCTGGCCAGCAGAACTCTGTTTTTACAGTCTTTTGAAAATAAACTGATTGCAGTACAGATCAAGGAGATAAACAGGTTTATCTTACCAATCACAGTTCAGTTTCTGGACAGATAAATGAACTGCTGGGAAAATAAAACCCCTGCAGCGGTGGTGAAATTCAATTTATTTTACTACCGGTTCTGTGGGCGTGGCTTGATGGACATGGAAGGGCAACGATATTGCAAAATCTCTAAGTTGCTTCTCTCCTTGATTAGTTTCCAGTCTTACCCTCAGGTGCCCTGGAGAATAGTTTGATTCCCTCTTCTTTGTGGCAGCCCCTGAGATATTGGAACACTGCTATCATGTCTCCCCTAGTCCTTCTTTTCATTAAACTAGACATACCCAGTTCCTGCAACCACTTTTCATATGTTTGTAGTGTTCATATACATGTAGTGCCCCAAGGCTATGTAACCATAATCTGTGACTTTTGTGACCTTCGGAACAAGCAAAGCCAATGCGGAAATGAGATTCACTTAGCAACTACTAATTTAACAACTGCAGCGATTCACTTAATAAATGTGGCAAGAAAAGTCGTAAAATGGGACAAACATATGAAAANCCAATCTTGGTCTTCTTCTAAGTCAGTGTTTCTCAACCTTGTCAACTTGAAGATGTCTGGACGTCAACTCCCAGAATTCCCCAGCCAGCATTCGCAAAGACCATTTTTGCTGCTGCAATAATATGTATTGTGTTTTTTTAATTTTTAAAAAAGATTTTATTGGTAAAAAGAAAATACAACATCCATAACTTGTAAAAAACAATACAACTACAATAATATGTATTGTTAAGTAAATTACCCTCTTGTTCTATTTATAGTTTATAATTCCCAAAAGAAATAGTTCCGGTGTGAATTTTGTTTCCTCTTCGGTTATCTCTCTCAGCCAATGATAGGGGTGTCTCAAGGGTTCTTTCCTTTCCAAGAAGGCCCTTGAGAAGGTGATAGGTTGACAGGGGGGCCTGGAAGAAACAGATCATTTACACCTCTTTCAATTGGGTTTCAAGACGGGACACTGTGTGGAGGCAACACTGATCACCTCAGTGGGTGGCCTGCGGTGGGGCTGGGAAGCCATCCTGGCTCTTCTTGGTCTCTTGATGGTTCTCAATGCCACCAATCATTCTATCGTTCTGGATGGGGGAGTGGGAGGCACAGGACTTGGTGGTTATCCTCCTTCCTCCATGACGGGTTCCAGTCAGTACTGATAGGAGGAGAGAGGTCAACCTTGGGATGCCTGAGGGTCTGAAGCTCTCACCCCTTCTATTTGTCACCTACATGCGGCTCTGGGTTAGATAGCATCAGAATGCTGAGGGAGGCTCAGCTATGCATCATGACCCTTGACCAGCCAAGCAATGCGGTCAACTCTTGTCCCAATGCCTGGAGGGGAAGAAGGTCCCAATGAGATGGAACCAGCTCAAACCCAACCCTAGCAAGACTGGGTGGCCATGGCTGTCAGGGCCCCTGGGGCTGGGGCTCTATCGTATTTCACCATGAAAAGGCTGCCATATTCCCTTTGGAACTGGGGTATAATCAGAATAACAACAATGACAGAAGGACAGGAAGGGACCTTGGANATTCTGGGAGTTGAAGTCCGGACATCTTCAAGTTGCCAAGGTTGAGAAACACTGCCTTAGAGAATAGAATGACCCCCTTTTCATTGTGGCAGCACCTCAAATATTGCAAGATCTCTATTGTGTCCCCCTGGTCCTTCTTTTCACTAAGCTAGACATAACCCAATTCCTTAATGTGTTTGAGCCTCCAGTCCCCCTCATCGTCTCGGTTGCTCTTCTCTGCACTCTTTCTAGAGTCTCCACATCCTTTTTATAGCGTGGGGACCAAAGCTGGATGCAGAATTCCAAGTGTGGCCTTAGCAAGATATTTATAAAGCGGTACTAACACTTCACATGATCTTGACTCTATCCCTCTGTTAATGCAGCCTAGGAATCTGTTGGCTTTTTTAGATGGTCCATCTCTGTCCTTCTCTTTTCAGTTGACTTAGAGCAGAAGCTTCTAACCACCTTGTTGCAAATTCTCCTAGAGAAGTTTAAACCTTCCATTCTTGTCTGACCCTTCGGTTACTGTTTTGTTTTTTTCTCAGCTCCTCTGACACTTGTTTCCACCCAGTGGTCATTTTCTTTCCTTTTGTAGGTCCCCTATCAGAGTTCAGATGGCTTTAAAGATTATGATTGCTTTCAGCTAAAATTCCCCCCGAGTTGTCTTTCTTCCTTCTTCAAACACTTAGAATCCACGAAGACCTGTTCTCTCTCATTCCAGAGGGCAAAACTGGTGCAACTTACAGAAAGCAGAATCAATGGACACAGAGAGAAAAATCCTCATTCCTAGAAGAATTGGGAGATTCTTCCAAGATGCAGTGGTCTTCCTTTCACTGTGGCTGAACAATCACCCACCCAGGAAACTTTAATATCCTTCAATTGGGACCTTCCTGGCTCTGCTGCCACTCTGGAGTTTTGCTTGACCACAGAAATGATCCACGGACATCGATATGGACCTGTCTAGCTTTCCCCAAAACTGGCCAGACAACCCAACTCTCAGGATTCCTCACCTCACAACTCCTCACTTTTAATATTAGCACTAATTAATTCATTAATAGCAGTAGCAATAGCAGTNGGCCTCCTCAGGGTGCCATCAGCCAGACAGTGTCGTCTAGCGACCCCCAGGGGGAGAGCCTTCTCTGTGGGGGGCCCCTTCCCTCTGGAATGAGCTGCCCCCCCCCCGGAGCTTTACACAATCCCCGACCTCCGGTCCTTCCGACGCCCCCTAAAAAGTTGGCTTTTCCAGCCAAGCCAGCCTGGCCTGAACAAAAGAAAATAAATTATTGATCATTGTTAATTTTAATTCGAATTTTTTTTAAAAAAAATGTCCTTGTCAATTTTAATTGGGTTTGGGGTATTCTATTTAATTTTTTAAAAACTTTTGTGTTATGTGTTTCTTTTAATGTTGTACGCTGCTCTGAGTCCTTGGGAGAAGGGCGGCATATAAATCTAATAAACCTAAACCTAAACATTCCCCCCCCCCTCCGTATTTCACAGGCTTTTGTTATCTTCCTGCTCAGCCTGGATCATGTAAAGGTTACTTCGTTCGCTTCTACTACAACTCGACTTTAAATAACTGCCAGCAGTTTATTTACGGTGGATGCCAGGGCAATGCCAACAGGTTTAAGACCAGAGATGAATGCCACAACACCTGTCTTGGTGAGTAGGGAAGGAGTAGCAGAGTGGCCTCTTCATTGAACAAGACCTGCCTTCTCTTAACGTTAGGCATAAGATGGGTTAATGGAGCATCCTGGTTCTCACAACAGGCTATGATGGATTCCGTAGTCATTCAGGTTGAACTGTGGGGTGCTTGGTGCTCTCTGAGCCTGGTGGTCTTCTTGCAGACGTTTCATGGCCCAACTAGGGAATGACATCAGTGCTAGAAGAGAGTGGGGTTTGCAGAGAAGAGGAGAAAGAAAGAAAGGAAGAAAGGAAGGAAGGAAGGAAGGAAGGAAGGAAGGAAGGAAGAAAGAAAGAAAGAAAGAAAGAAAGAAAGAAAGAAAGAAAGAAAGAAAGNCACACACACACACACACACACACACACATATATATATATATATATATATATAGGTCTCTAGTTGTTCGGGTTTTCTCCCGCGTAGAATTGGAGATGTCTTGGCGACGTTTCAACGAAGTCACATTCGTCATCTTCAGGCTGCTGCTGACTACTTCAGGTTTGGTGTTTCCAGGAGTAGTGTTATATATATATATATAAACACACACACATATATATATAATATGTTGATTATATGTTGACCAGAGGTGGCATTCAGCCGGTGGTATTCAAACTGGTAGCACCAAACTGGACACCCACTGGGTGGGCACTCATTCATCCGGCTCAAAAAAGTCCTATGTAGCCTCATTTTTTATGCTGCGTGCTTGCGTGCACATCCCGCGCGCAAGCAAAGTACATGCATGGAAGGGCACACACATGCACGGAAGGCACAGGTGTGACACAAGCATGCATGTGCACTCACAGTTATGAACCAGTGGTAAACCTAAGTGAATCCCACCGCTGCCCGGGACACAGCAATGGTCGTAAGTATGAGCCAGTTGCCAAGCATCTGAATTTTGATCACATGATCATGGGGATGCTACAAAGACTGTAACTGTGAGAAAAGGTCATGTCACTTTTTCAGTGCCGTTGCAACTTTGAACGGTCACTAAATGAACTGCTGCAAGTCAAGGACTATCCGTGTGTGAGGCGTATAACCCTGATAAATCAGTACACCATCTCATAAGGCAAGAACTCCAAAGCTCTGCATACCAAAAAGGCATTTATAATTCATGCGTGCCTCAATTCTATTTCTGGCAAACTGTTTTGCTAAAACACCCTACTTTTGTTTCTTTTTTTAAAACCACAAAGAAGGGAACAAATTCTGGATCTTAAAGTGGTAAACGGGACCCATTAAAGCATAAAAAGAGGGAAAGTCTGAAAGTCATCCAGCAGCAACAGCAAATGTGACTTCACTCCTGGATTATATTTCTATATTTAGTTTATGCCTAATATGGATTCAACTGCAGGCCCCGGCAACTTCCTCTCAGAGAGAAAAAAAGCTTCTGGCTTTGTTTAGCCAACAATGCAAAGATTAAATGATGGCTTTGGGGAGAAACATTGACCAATCTTGTAATTAACCTGATTTAATGTAATTAACCTGATTTATTCTTAGCAAGCCTTAGCAGGGAAATTAGATGCTGCTGGAGGTTCTTTTACAACTGTGAATTTTATTCACTTCTCTAAGGAGGACTCAGAGATGTTAGGGTTAGGCCGATAAAGAAATTCTGTTCTATTCTATATTCTGCTCTATGTTCTATTCTATTCTATCTTTTACTCGATGTTTTACTCTATGTTCTGTTCTATTCTATTTTATTCTATATTCTACTATATGTTCTGTTCTTTTCTATTCTATGTTCTACTCTATGTTTTATCCCGTGATGGCGAACCTATGACATGCGTGCCACAGGTGGCTTGTGGAGCCATGTTTGCTGGCATGCCAGCTGTCAGCTCTGGCGCACGTGCCCACTGGCCAGCTGATTTGGGGCCTTCCGGAGGGCCGGGGGAGGGTGTTTTCACCCTCCCCAGGCTTCAGGAAAGCCTCCAGAGCCTGGGGAGGGGTCGCACACGCATGCACAGGTGGGAGGGGAGAATTGAATTAGTGTGGGAATGCATGCGTGTGCATAATTTTGCATGCCATAAGAAAAAGGTTCACCACCCATTGCTCTATTCTATGTTTTTTCTATTCTATATTCTATTCTGTTCTATTCTATTCTTCTACTCTTGTGCAGAATAATTGACTACTATTTTTTTTCTTCCACTCAATTGTGTCTGATTCTTGCAGCCTGTCTGAACAAATCCCCACAGTTTGTTTAGCAGATTTTTCAAATGTGGTTTGCCTGCCTGCCTGCCTGCCTGCCTGCCTGCCTGCCTGCCTGCCTGCCTGCCTTCCTTCCTAGGGCTGAATGATGGGCCCAAGGTCCGTCTAGCTGGTTTTGTGTCAAAGGTGGGACTAGAACTCAGTGTCTCGGTTTCCAGCCTGATGACTTCACCATTACCTCAAACTGGCTCCCTTATTGGCTCTCTATTATAGCTGGACTAAATTGCAGCGTATTTAAGAGGGGCAGAAATGGCTTTCAAATTCTCAAGGAAATGTGATGCTAAACAAGTCCATTTTTAAGAAATCACCAGTGTTTCGGACTTTAATGTCTTCTGTGGAATCCTTAACCTGATAATCTGAAGGGATGTGAAAGCCTTAGTTGAATCTCTGATCGTTTTAACATGATTTTGCAATGTAATTCGTTTTTCAATATGTTATACAAATATCGCGACACTTCAGGGACAAATGTTTTGACCCAACTACGTAGCACAAACTCTTTCTGTAAAAATATTGTTCCCATCTTTAAAGCAGTGCAAAAACAATTAGTTACGACAGAGTCGGCCGCTAGACTTCCACTACTAAAAATAGGAATGCTTAAAGCGGATATATGAAGAGCAAAGCGTCTCCATTCAACTTTTTAAGTTCTTTGAAACGTTTCCTGCTACCCTCGGCTCAAATTCAGCAATGCATTTTTCTTCATATCTGAAACCCGTTCTTTCCATTATTTCATTTAGCAATGCTGTTGACAAAAATTAGGAAATCAAGAATTAAGTTGCATCGCTGCCAAAGGACAAATATAACACCATCTGGTAATGAGAGGGCAGGGGCTTCCCCTTAACGTCTGGCAATCCTTATTTAAAGGTGTTTTTTTTAAAGGGACTACAAGTAGTCCTCAGTTCCTCATTTGTCTTTGCAACCACAATTGAGCCCAAAATTTTGGTTGCTAAGAAAGATACTTGCTAAGTGAATTTTGCTGCATTTTATGGCTGTCCTTGGCACAGTTGATAAGTGAATCCCTGCAGTTGTTAAATTAGCAACACACTTGTTAAACGAATCTGGTTTCTGCATTGACTTGGCTTGTCAGAAAGTCGCAAAAGTGATCACATGACCCCAGGACACTGCAACCATCCTCAGTATGAACCGATTGCCAAGCATCTGAATTCTGATCACGTGACCAGGGGGATGCTGCAATGATTGCAAACGGTCATAAGTCCCTTTATTTAGGGCCGTCGCAACTTTGAACAATCACGAAACAAATGGTTGTAAGTCAAGGATTATCTAGAAGTCTTCCCAGCACAACCAAATCGGTGAAATTTTTGAGAACCCATTGCAAACATTTTCAGAAGTGCAACATGGCTCAAGTTACATATTACCTCTGTATCAGTGTTTCTCAACCTTGGCGACTTTAAGTCCTGTGGACTTTAACTCCCAGAATCCCAGCTGGCTGGGGAATTCTGGGAGTTGAAGTCCACAGGACTTAAAGTCGCCAAGGTTGAGAAACACTGCTCTGTATAGTATAAGGCTGTGATGGCGAACCTTTATCGTGCATTCGCGCGGGCTTCCCACTCCCCAGCTGGCTCTCGGGTCTCTGTCACGCATGCGAAGTGGGCACATGCATGAGACACATCTGCATGCATGAGGGGGCAGGGGGCATCTGCAGGAGACATGCGTGCATGCACGGGAACAGGGCACATGGGGATTGTACGCATGTGCGCAGGTCACACGTGCATGCACATGTGCAGGGTGCACTGGGGGTTGGGCACACATGTGCAGGGGCAGGATGCACATGGGGTTGCACACATGCTGTTGCGCACACATGCACACACATGCTGTTGCGTGCGCGCATGCGCTTTCGGCACAAAAGAACAAAAAGTTTAGCCATCACTTGCATATGGTTTCTCCCTGAAAACCCCAAAGACAGAAAACGTTATGCATGCTAGCCTTCAGGTAATAAGCAAGGGAGGGAGAGATTCTTGATTGAAGAGCAATTTAAGTTCTAGATCAGGAACCTGTAACATTTTCCCCCCAGGGCTGAAGTCGTTCCCTGAAAGGCAGGCTGAGGTCTAAAAAAAAAAAACCCCAAGGTCTAAATAAGCAGGATAAAAGATAAATTTTAATGCAAATCAAATCAAGCACAATCAAGATTAAATAGAGGTATTATGCTTGCAATAATGTTCTTTTCATTCAAATCTGATGGCCTTGAGAGCAGCCTAGAGAGAAATATCTTGACAATCAAAACTCTGAAGCTAAAAGGGTTCCCAAGAAAAAACTGAAAAGCACAATGACTATATATGAATACTTTTTTGTTCTCTTCTTTTTAAAGAATAAGTTATATGTCAAAATTAAATATGTATATTGAAAAGGAATTATAAACACCGTCAACATAAAATGGAGCTCGCCCAGAAGCTGAAATACACCAAATAAATGAAATGGGAAGTAGAGGAGAGAGGTAAGGGAAAAAGAGAGGGATAGGAGAGAGGGTAGGGGGGAGGAGAGAAAGGAGGAGTGGAAAGAGTAGGAGAGAGGAGAAGGAGAGAGAAAAGGGAAATTGAGAAGAGAAGGATGACAGAGGGAAGAAAGGAGGTAGAGAGAGGAAGGAGAGAGGGAGAAGAAAGGCACAAATATGTATGGAGAGCAGAAGAGCCAATAATTGTTTTTTGGGAGTTGATGGTAAGATGAATTGATGTAAACATTTAATAATACAATATGATGTTGGCTATGTAATAGTATACATGTGGGATTATATGTTATGAAAATGGAAAAATAAAAAACTTTTTTTAAAAAAGAAAAAA